CCAATAGCTTTAACAACAAATGAAGACAAATACAGACCAAAGAACAAAACAAATATATGAATAAATATCCCTACATATAGGATATAAAAAGTTTTAGTATGTGTTAACTGTAAGGAACATCCAAAAATTATAAAATTTTTCTTCTCTGAATTGAGTAACAACACTCAACAGCTTCAACATATAATCTTGGCACATTAAGTAAAAAGAAATGCATAGAGGTTGATTGCAAACAATAACCCATGATATATACAATACTGCATTGGCAACTTCAACAAAATTCAACAAGATATAGTACCATTTTGTCAGAATATACCTCTATCCAGCATGCACACTTCCTCACTAGCCAATGTTGTAGTTGATATTACAGAAGAGATAAAATTTAGAAGTAATTGTAGATAACAATTAAGGATAAAACATTTACTGCTTTGGGATATAATTCTTAACAACACCAAAAGAAATAGTCATAGGGGCAGTAGGACATTTAAAAGCAGTAGAGAGTAATCATAGTGGAAAATTGATGATGTTCTGTTTAAATCAAATTTATCTTCATATTTGAGTGTTGTAGTGGATACGGTGTGTAGTAGCATCCAACATGTTTGCTTCTTAACCAGCTTCCATAGAGTAATTGCCAACATTCAGTGATTTTTCAAATTCAGTTGTAATGTTCCTATAGACTTATTCATTCAAACTAGAGAGGCTCATAACACAGCAAAATCATCCCCAGTATGTAACATAAAAATATTAGGAATACTAACAATTAAGCAACCACCAAACAATACAAATCATACACCGAGTCGAGTAGTTACCAAAAAGGCAGATATCTTTTGCAAAGTTTCCTATAAATAATAAAGTTATTACATTGGCCTATTTCATCTCACATATGAGATTGGCAATAGGCCTCCTGTTAATAATTTCAGCAGGTGCCCCTTGGGAATTTTCCCCATAAGAATCTCATAATTACATGCACCATTTTTGGCCAGGAAATGGGCAGATTTATTCCCCTCCTTGAAAATGAACTTTCATACAATGTTAAGCTGCAATTTGAGATCATTAATTTTTCTTATGTGATGCATTATTTCCCAAGGAGGTTCCCTTTTGCACTTAATTATGTCCACTAAAGAAGCGGAATCCACCTCCACTAGTAAATTACTCAATTTAAACCAAACTGCTAGTTGTACTTCCATGCAAACTACCATAGTTTCAGTCTCAAGTGGAGTATCAGCCAAACAAGAAGAAGAGAATAACAATATGCAGTTTCCCTTACAATTTCTAAGAAACCACCTATTCCTATAGCTCTATTATTCCAACTCCCATCTGCATATTTTAATCCAGTCAAGGGTGGAGGCAGCCATCTCACTAGAGTGATGAGTTGTTGATTTTGACTCCCTTCCTAATTAATGTGATTATCATTAACATTATAATAATTTAGACCGGAAAATAAATCTTTTTTATGTTTTCCCAAGGTGAACAACATATTGATGTAAGCTAGGAAAGTTGCATAGATAATTAGATAATTTTATTGTTCACACGTTTCTCATGGTGCTTAATGTCATTCCTAGCACACCAAATGAATCAACATATAATGTATGGCCATATTTTGAAGAAGTGCTATTTTAATAAGTCAGAGTTCCAAATTTTATAGCATTCAAAAAAATCCATTCAATGTAAAGGGACAGAAACATTAAGAATGTTCCCAACAACACTACACACTTCAAAGGAGACTTAACAGGAGCAAAAAATATGGCCTAAAGTTTCTTCCTCCTTTTACATAAGGGACATTGAGATGGAAGTCTTAATCTATAAAGCTTAAGAATATCATCACAAGGAACCAATTTGTAGTGTAATCTCCATGCAAAAAATGACATTGAAGTAGAAAAAGCCAAGCTCTAGATTCTTTCACCACAACCATTTTTTTGGAAAATGATGTAGCTGGCAGTATAAAGCTTTAACAATTAATTTCTCTATGGGTAGTTTAGGTTTAGGGTTATCTTTTTTTGTAGTATTAATTGGGATTTTAGAGATATAAGAAACATCAGCTTCTCCCAAACCTCCCCAAGAAGGTTTAAATTCCACTTGCCATCCTTCCAAGCATCAGAAACTAGCAAATTTTTATAACCCTCTTCCCTCACCACCTCTAACTCCTCTCTAGTCCAACAATCCCATAGAGGGAAATATTCCCAACATCCAAATCCAAGAAAATATATTGTTGTGCCCAATCACTCACTTTAAGTAATGTTTTCCACACCCTTGAATCACCAATCTTCCATATAGCCATGGAAAGTTTGATGTTTGCACAATGTCTACATTGCATGAACCTAGCACATAAAGAGTCTCCTTTTATAAAATTTAGCAAAAATTTAAAGTAAGATAATTCAACAATATAGTGGAGTTGCTTCAGCCCCAAGTCTCCAACACTTAAAGGTATACTCACTACCTTCCAAGCTGCCCATTTTATGTTTGAATAATTACCAACTCACAAAAACTTATTAAAACAAGTTTCAAGCCTCCTTTGAATACTACTTTTCATCTTAAATACTTGCACTACATATAAAGGTATAGTGGTAGGAATAATTTTGAGTAATGTGATTCTTCCTTGAAAGGAATGAGCATGGTTCCTTCAATCCAAAATTTTTTTCTGAATTTTTTCCACCATCTCATCCATATGAGTTTGTTTTCTTTTTCCTTTAAACAGATTCACACCTATATATTTTAATGGAAGTTCAATAAAAGAAAAGACAAAGAAGTTTGTAGCCCAGATTGCAATGCATTCTTCACTCTTTTCCCAAAGTACATATTTCAATTTTTCATGCATTAAAGAAAAGAACCACATCATCTGCATAAGCCAAGTGGCTCACCATATCCTTAGATTTATGTGCATAATGCACATTAGGAAATTCCTTATGTAGTTTTTTCACTTTCCTAGAGAAATAATCAAATGCTAAAATGAAAATAGTTTGGGAGAAGAAGTCTTCCTGTTTGATGCCTCTGGTAGCCAAGAAGAAGCTAAAAGAATTACCATTCAATAATATAGTATATTTATTGCATGTCAATCATCTCTCAATCAAATCACAAAACTACTTTCTGAACCTCTTAGCCTTCAAAATATTGAGTATAAATTCCTAACTTATAGTGTCATTGGATTTTTAATATCTAGTTTAAGCAGCATATTTCCCCTTCTGCACTTTTTATCAAGATCATAGAGCAATTCATGTGCTAACATGATATTATCTGTAATGCCTTTGTCCTTAATGAATGCTGACTTTTTTGGGACAATGCTCTATTTATCAAGGTATTTAAATGAGATTGGATTTTCTTCACTATAATTTTACTGATTACCTTAGAGATAATTGATGTTAAAGATGTTGGTCTGAATAGCTCTCATGATGCTTTATTAGATGATTTAGGAATTAAGATAGTTGTTGAAGTAGAGATGAAATGGCCAGGGTCTTCACCCCTAAAATAACTCTAGATTGCCTCCATGAATGCTTTATTTATTATATCACAGCATCTTATATAGAAGTCAAAAGTAAACCTATCAGACCTGACAGCCTTATTGCAATTAATATCAATAATAGCTTCATAGATTTCCTCCTTACTAGGAACCCCACATAGATCCAGGTCTTGTGTGTAGTGTTTCTCCTAAAGAAACAATGCATCCTCAACCTTCTCCACTTCCCCTCTAGATTCAAAAAATTTAGAAAAAAATTTGACAACACTTGTACCCAAATCTTGGTTCCCTATGATCCACTTGCCTTTTTCCTCTTTAACCCTTATGATGGTGTTATTGTTCCTCTTCTGTTTGATACATGCATGAAAGTACTTGGTGTTTTTGTCACCCTTAGTAAAATGAATGCCACCAGCCTTTTGTTGTAAGAAAGACTCCTCCATGGATATATCTTCCAACAAATCTTTATGAGCATCCTATAATTCTAAGACCAATTTCTGATTAGCATCATCTCTATCTTCCAATTCTCTCTCTGTCCATCTGCTTTGGTCACTCTAGTGTGAACATCTCAAAAAACATTACAGTTCCATGATCTCAATGCAACAACCACTTTTTTTATCTAATCTCCACAAAATGTACCAAGCACAATCGACCTCTTCTGTTAAGTTAGGTGTCTACCTTTATTTTGCAATATTCTGCATTGTATAATTGCTTTTAAAGTGTAGAATGTACTTCTATGAATAGTTCTGTTGTAAACAACATTACAATATAGAGAAAAAATAATCATTTGACCAGAAACAACTACAAAATAGTTTTTTTTCAAACTGTAAAAAATAAACAGATAGTCAGCTTATCCGCAACAACTTTTGCGCAGTAACTTCTTGTGGCAGCTGCTATGCAACCGCTTATTATTAAGCTGCAACTGCTTCAAACAGACCCTGAGTCTAATGACTAACCCTAAGTTATTTTAATATGACTTAATTTGATTGATAGCTCATCCAAAATAAACTTTGATGATTTCAAGTTTATTATTATTATCTTTTTTCAGGAGAGTTGAGCTCAATGATAGAAAACTAGTCATTGAATGTAATATGAAATAATAAATAAAATTTATATTCCTCTTCCTTAATGTATATGCAATATTTTTGAAATTATTATGAATAAAAAATATTCTATAATACAGTACAATATGAATAATTAATTGAAATAAAATTAATTAACAATAAAATAAAATATATCAACTTTATTTTAAAAAAAAAACTAATAAAAAAATTAGAAAAATTTTAAAAAGGAGAACTTAATAACTTAATTTGAAATAAATTAATGTGTCAAATCTCAAATTTTTTTAAATTAATTTTATTTTGTTAATATATAATTTTTTTATCGAAATGATAAAAATTTAATAAATAATTTTTTTCACAAATTATTATTAGCTGTTAATATATATATATATATATATATATATATATTAATTTTGATTCTCCTTTTGATCCCCATCTTAAAATTCGGGCTTTCCACAAAAATTTCCATATACAAAATTTTATCTAACGTTTCGCGCCGCTTCAACTTCGCTGCCAATATATAGGGTTGGGGAGCACCGGGCAGCAGTACCCAGAGATACAGAGAGAGAGAGAGAGCCCTTCTAGAATGTGCGGAAGGGTTCGCTGCACTCTGAACGCAGCACAGGTGGGGAGGGCCTGCGGGCTACAGGACGGCGATGCCGATTCCGTCCGCACCGTTGATATGGACTGGTAACTCCACGACCTATCCATTAATTCCTCTCTCTCTCAAGTCCATATCCAAATCCATCAATGCTTCGAAATCAATGACAATGCATTACCACTTTCCTTCCATGCAGTTTCCGCTCTTCTTACAACGTTTCTCCGGGCACTTACTTACCAGTGTTCACGGTGCGCAGCGACGCCGCCCTGGGATTGCAGGCTGCTAATCCCTGCGGTGTCGTCCACTGCATGAAGTGGGGGCTTGTCCCGAGCTTCACAAAGAAAGCAGACAAGCCAGACCACTACAGGATGGTAACTAACTTCTCTTCTTCCTTCAGTTTTTGTCCTAGCAGTTTTTAAAAAGTTAATTTTTTTTGATGTTTTCTTAAATGAATCGTTGATCGAGGGATTTTCACTCATCACTTATTTTTGTATTTACATTTCTATGCATGAATAAGTTTTTCTCCCGTTCTGTTCACTTTTTAAGTCCATGCTCGTACATGCAAATTGCCTTCTTTGGGAGGTTTTTTCTTTTAAATAAAAATGTTAGAAGAGTTTTGACATGACTGCAGTTCAATGCTAGATCCGAGTCTGTTAAAGAGAAGGCTTCTTTTAGGCGTCTCATTCCACATAATCGGTGCCTCGTGGCAGTAGAAGGGTACCATTTTTGTTTTTTGCTTTTCTTTATAAACAATTAAGTCTAATGTCATAGTTATGAAATATTTAATGTTTTCAATTCTGTTGGTTTTGTACTAATTCCAAAATCTTTTTTATATTTTGGTTTTGCTTGTTTTATGGACTTTTGGCCAAAAGCTGTATTTTAAAGGGAATGACTTTTATTTGAAGCTCAATGGTTTTGAAGGAAATATTGCTAAAAATTTTGATTAGCTGTTTACATTTTACTGACATTATATATCCGAGGCATATCCAAATTTCATGTGTTGTAATGATAAATTTTAGTATATTAATTTTCTGAAGAATGTCTGCAGAGTTTGAACTTTAATGAAAAAGTGGGCTCCTTTGGGACTAAAAAAGGCAGAACCTTGCATGCAGCAAAGTAGAATTCACTAAATAGACTATTTTGATGGAATAAACGAAGAGCCCTTGCTTGAATCTGGAAACCTGCAGTGCAATGTCTTCTAGAACTCATATTTTTAAGTAACGTGCATCCATTAGGTTTATCTTGACACCAACAAAAGGGTCCTTGTGCTATTGAATATTATATTGGGAGAGAGGTTAGCTGTAGATGACCGTAAGGGGTCAAAAGCAGCCACAGAGTACCAAAATGGGGGAGAGACAAACATTGGGCAAAACGTATGGGTGAAGGAGAGAAAAATCATCATATAGAAGGATAGAACCAGTAATGCTCCAATTCTTTTATTCAAACCTTAGTTTAGCCTTGAAAATGCTACATATTTGTGAGTGAATCCATTAAGAAGATTAAGAAATTCATGTAAAATTTTTGGTTAGGTGGAGAGTGGAAAATTTTTACTGGCATGGTTAGGCTTGAGAGAAAACCAAACCATTTGTTTGAAGATGAACCAAGGGTGAGGAAAACACTGAAGTAGCACAGTTCTAGAGTGCTTGAAACCTTAGCAAGCTGATTGGAGGCAATGCTAATTACTAGCAAGAGGATACAATGCATGTTAAATAATAGAAGAGAAAGCGTTAGGCTTTAGGCCTAATTGAAGCCGGGGAGTTAATTAAGAGGAATTTTGATTTTTTATTTTATATATATATATATATATATGTATATATAATGCAAGTTGTCGTCTCCTGGTCTCTTTCTCTATCTCCTCTATTTCATCTGATTCAAGAAGCAAACGACATGTATTCAAAGTCGAGAAGCAAACTCTATTTCATCTGATTCAAGAAGCAAACGACATGTATTCAAAGTCGAGAAGCAAACGACATGTATTCAAAGGCTCACAAGGCCGATAACTTAAACTTTGGGGCGTTCAAACTATGAATTATGCAATGAAGAGAAAGCGTATGCTTTTTGACGATTTCATTTTAAGAGTCGAACATCTCATTCGAATCAGATGAAATAGAGGAGATAGAGAGCGAGAACAGGAGACAAAAAAAGAAGACGACAATGCGTGACATCACATTCGAGTGAGAGAAGGGAAGTTGATTTCTCGAAATCGAAGGAGGAACTTTAGTTGTGTGCGTGCATGAGAATTATTGCTCATGCTTGAGAAGGAAGCGTAAGTGACATAATCTAAGAGTGTTTTGTGTGACGAAAGAAGAAGAGGTAGAAGTGATGACGACACAAACCTTGGCCATGTAAGAGATGAAGCCAAGGAGAAGGAATGATTGAGCCGTTGCATGCAGGAGTTTCTATCGAGCGAGCGTCTCATGCAAGGAACAGAGAAGCCAAAGCCTCAATGTTACTGGCCGTCTCACATGCAAGCTATGTGGACAAGTGCAAGCTATGTGGACAAGAGAGGAAGAAGATCAAATTGAGCATTCTTGTACGGCTTCAGGCAGAATATGAGAGTAGGATCGTGTGTCTTGTGTACTGAAGAAGAAACTTTGTATGCAGTGTAGTTGAGCCGAGCTTTATTAAGGAGGTAAGGGTTTATTAAGTTTATTTTAGAATTTAAGTTATATAATTGAAATTTTACTTAAATATTCATATGAAATTATGCTAATTGAAATTAGGGATTAAATAAATTTTGATTCGAAGGAGTAGGGCTTGGGATCGTAGATTTTCGCTAGGATGAGAAAAATGTAATGAATATAATTGATATTATTATTTATGCAAGTTATTTTGAATTATTAAATTAACGTTAATTGAGATTGATAAAGTGAATAGTAAGTTTTATTAATGAATGTCATCAGATTTTTGGAAGATTGATAGGAGTAAAAAGATGAAAGACTTGAAGTGATTAATCATGTTTCTGAATTATAGCGGTGTTTTTAATTCTAAATATATTTTTTATTTCGATTTTTCACACTTTATATATCATTGAGGCTTAGCTTGCAATTGACTTTTCATATTGTTCTGTATGAAGCATGCATGTTAGTATTTATTTATAAAAAGCTGCATTACAATTTTCTTAAGATGTCACATTATCACAGGACATGTAAATTTTAGTATAAGTGCATATATCAATTTATTTCATGACTTATAGATTTAGTAAAAGTGCATTTATTCATTAGTAGATAAATATAGAATGTCTCATAGAGAAGAATGTATATTATGAATATTAAAACAATGTATATATGAATATTTGTATGTGCATGCTAAGAGGAGTTACACCTCAGTTCTAAAATACGCTAAACCTTTGTAACATTGAGCATGATGAAATAAATTGAACATGTTTTATATTATCAAAAGAAATATTTTATGCAAATATTAACATGAATAAAGAAGAAAATATAATTTTATTTTCTAATTGAAAGCCCACTGATACACCGATAGAAAGACAGAAACCTGATAGAATCAAAATTGAAATGACAATAGGGAATGAAAACCCAACCTCAAAAAGGAAAGTACAACTAAAACAAATATTGAAAAGCATTAAAAACAAGAAATCTTAAACAAAAAATTATGCTTTCGTGGAGACGATTATACTAGTGGCTGAATGAAACTTGCTGTTCAAAAATATCAACTAGTTTGACAAACAAACTTAGTAAATAATAACTTTGTATTAAACATAAATGACAAGAAAAATGTTGAAGTATGAATAACAAAGAGAGGCAATTATGCACATATAACATCATAAAATCATAGGAGCATTGAAACATACATATGCTCAATTATGATTATGTAATTACTTCCAATCTAAAAAATCATATGTTTTAATAATCACTCTAAAATCAAAAAAGTTAATACCAATCCAAGGAAACATTATAATTTTTTTGTAAAGTCTTCACTCTAAAAGTTTGTCAGCCCCGCTAGTTGATCCCTGACACAATGTGTGCGTTCTTAGTGTGTAATTATTTCAATTTCAATCTCAAAAGACAAACCCAAAAGCTTGGGCTCTAATAACGTACACGAGGAGAAGCCCAAAAGCTTGGGCTCTAATAACGTACACGAGGAGAATTTCTAAGAGTTTTGAGTGGAAGTTTGAAGAATATTGGGAGAGTCATATTAGCGCTAAGAAGCTAGGTTTTGGGGCATATTTTACTTGACTGCAGTTGTTTTTCTTTCTCATGGTGTTCCTAGTGGCGTCTAGGATTTGTGGAGAGACGACTTACTCTCAAATAGTAGATCATCATTATATCTTTTTTGTTTTCCTTGGTTTTGGTAAAAGTAACCCTCATTTGATTTCTCTACCCTCTAATGCAATCTTTTCGATGTTTGTTCGTTGTTTTTAGTTTTGAATTGTATCAGAGCACTCTCAGGATGAGTGACCTTCTTGGAAGTTAAACTTCTGGGGCAAAACTGTTAGGCTATTAGGCAAAAGCGGACAATATCTCGGTGGGTGAGAGTAAAGGCTGTTATAAATAGAATCAGAGCATTACACCAACCTGAAGGTGGGGACTGAGTGCTATACAAAATAAAATGCTACACCATGGGAGCCACCTGTTGAACTAATTTTTGGATAAAGTGCTACATGTTGGAGCCTTCTCTTGAATATATAGAGGTCATCTCTAGAATCCTATGAGAATTCTCTTGAATATATAGAGGTCATCTCTAGAATCCTATCTGCCTGGTGGATGATATTGGTTTTGGGACACTGACAAGGACGTCAATTACTTAAGTAGAGAAGTTTTTGAAGCCCCTTGCATCACCTCTCATGTAGACCCCTTTATAGTGAACGTAGGTTGTAAAAGAGGTGGGCTGAATATAATTTCAATACTCACTCTTGTAGGGATTTATCATAAGGTGGGAGTTATATTCACACATAAATTCACCTGAAATGATGCATAACATAATTTTTACAACATGTTCAAACAGTTCTTAAGCAGAAGCAATCCAAAATATATTCTTAAAATAAAATTTACAGAGCATCTAAAACCCATAACAGAAATTATAAAATTTATTTTGTGACTTTTATATAGCAAAATAAATATCCAAATTAAACTAACCCCTAATCAGCCTCAACTTTTTCTTGACTTTTCCTGCAAAAATAGTTATAATCTTCTAATGTGTTACTAGACTCAGCAAGATAAACAAATTTAATACAAAATTCAATTACTGAAGGAAAGTACACAGGTGTAGTAATCATTAACATACCAAATTATAAAAGTGAACAATTGCGATTCTTAAATATTACAATTAAGACATGCCAAAATATTTGTCAGAATTAACAGTTAATTTCAGAAGATATTAGAGACAAATTTTTCTTTAACTTAAACAAATCGTATAATATGGTATCGAATTTTAGCTTTAGAATATGTCGTGTACAATAACTATACTTTTGGCCATCATAACTTGACTACGAAAGCTAAATTATCCAGTTCAATAGCACCCATGTGAAATCCAGAATTATCAATATTGAATTGTCTTAAGGACCCCTTTGCATATATAGGAGATCCTTTTGCTTCATTAAAGATCATTGTGCCCTAACGTATGCAGGTAACATAAATATATTTCTGCCATATGTTTTCTATAAATGGCATATCTTAAGCTTCATGTATATGCATAATTAATCATCTTGATAAACATGAAATATCTGTTCAAATATATTCAATAATTGCATATGT